TGCTGAACTCACTTCTTCCATTTGCTTTCTTGCAGAGTTCACTTTTTCTAACAACAAGAATATGTGTTCTGCAAACTCCCGGACAGCTCCACAGCCACCATTGCTTTTACAAATATAACCAGCAGCCTTCTGAGCAACAGCACAAGCATCAGCAGGCACACCGCTCATGCCAGCTTTCTTCAGGCATTCCACATCAGACTCTTCATTTCCTGTTGAGAAAGATGACAGACAAGACAAAATATCACACTGGGGAAAAATGAGAAAATTCAGTATTTTTCTGTGTACATATTAATCTATTTTTTTAAATTTGTATTCTTGTCACAATTTTCATCTCAGCAGCTCAACAGCGCTTTGCACGTGTGAGTCAGTTGTCAGACATCTTAGTGATACACATAAACAGTGATCACACTTCACACAATCTTCAGAGAGAAGAGAATGGTACTTTTAAGAGTAGTAAAATTATCTGAGCAACTGAATAAGCATTTGCAGGACTATACACTTAAGCTGTCACTGAAATAGTTTTGTACAGAATCATATGGCTTTCAGTTTGAATTCTGTCCATTTCTTGTTTCCATTTCAGAATATCATCTATACAATATCCATCTGAAATGAACTAGAATCAGTTCAAAACTGTGAGCTGTAACTGTATGCTTGTGTGATATCAAAAGTGTTTAAGTTTCATTATAAAACCAGCTAAGATGTCCCTGACCAAATTAGACACCAATTCATCAATGCCTTTACTATTTAGATCATGCCCTAACAAGCCTTAAAATCCATTTTAGTTTAGTGTATTAACAATGAGCAACGTGTTTTGCACCTGAGCAGGACTATGAAGTTTGTATTTGTGTATACTATATGAAATTTTACTGAAAAAAAAGAAACTAACCTAAGTAAGCAACTTCTTTCCAGCTCAAACCCATGTCTTTTTGCCATTCCTCCAGGACTTGTAATTTATTTGTTGCACTAACTTTTGCTATACATCCCAGCTGCATGGCTGACAGTGTTTTTGAACAGTCTCTTTCAGAGATGAGTCGAACCTATTAAAATAAAGTCAAGTTAGAATAATTTCTACATACAAAGAAATAAGACATGTAAGTTGATTTATTAAAAAAAACAGCAAAAGTTTTGCTCATAGAAGCTCTCTCACATATCAGAAAAGCATTAAATAAATGGTTTCTTCAATCAAAACTCAGAGCTGACATGGTTAACATCCAAAAATCACATTGCAGTCCTGAAGTTGCTTTGGGAAAGTGAAACATCATTCTGTAGGCTTCCTTGGGGCTCAAAAGAAAAAAAAAAAAAAAAAAAAAATTTCATTTGTCTTTTTAAATGCAACATGGACCAAATAAAATATTGGATATCATAGTACAGTGGCATGCTATGTAGTGCAGTATCACCTAATTAAGCCACAGTAGGGAATAAGAGAATTCCCAAGGTAGATTCCTGTAATATTTGTGGAAGCAGAATATTATGAAGTATTTTCCATGACTCCTCTACCTAGTAACATCATTTTATTTACAGTAAGATTTCAGAGCATCAACAGAACACTAAACAGATTGAAGTGGCACAGCATGTTAATGTCCAGAAGTTCATTCCAAATCTGAAATTTCAGAAACAATGTACATGGTAAGCTAAACCCATAAGATTATTGCGACAGGATGCTTTAAAAATCTCAGACGACCCCTCCAAGTTTTCTGTCCAAGCTGTGGACAAGCTTATCTTCTTTAATTACTTTTAAATACTAACAAATACTTGGCACTGATTTTAAGTACAAAACAAACAGGAGTGGTGCACAAAGCAAGAGTGTATCAGCAACATATACCAGAAATATGTAAAGTGTGGCACAAAGGCCAGGAGGTTTTTAATGAAAGATTCCATGTCACAGCAAGTAGGAAAATGGGCTCCCACAGCAAACAAAACAATGATTACAAGCTTCCTCCCCTTTTTGCCTCGGAAAACAAAGCTGAGGGAGTTTTGAAAAACCATCTACTGCATTTCACTGCCCCAAGGCAGCAACAGCTGCATCAAAGTATGTCATGAATGTCTTATCTAACCTGTTACAAAAAAAAAATCCTACAATAGAGACTCCAAAAACATATCCAGAGAAGCCTACTTAGGGTAGGCTTTGTCTTATCCATGCCTATTTCTATCTGCAACAGAACTGAGTTAAGGCTCACTGAAGGCAGCCTAATTCTTTACTTAGTTCTTACTCCAAATAACTCTTCTAGGTATATCAAAAGTGGCAGCAGCACAGACAGAAAATAGCCAGGAGGCAAATTTTACATAAATGCAAGCAAATATTCAGATCAGCAGAATTTACTAGCAGTAATAATAATAAATAGTAGTAATAATAATAATAATGATAGCCATGTTACAATCTGTGTTGTTTCAGTTTTTCATTTACACTGAATTCATACAACTTCAAAGCACATAAGTTACGGTTAAAACGACTAAGCAGAGAAAAGTGTTTGGGGTTTGATTTCCCATCTTTGCAACAACCATGGGTGACCTAGGATGAACCAACTAATTTGCCTAGGTATTTCCTTCTCTTCTATAGCCAAGAGATAACTACATATCCCTGCTTGGTAAAGCTGACTTCTAATTGATGAGTGTCTGGACTACACAGAACGATATGATTGGTGCTAGCAAAACACCATAAAAATTTCTTCCCACATTTTTTCCATGTCAAAAAGAGAGACGGTACAGCTACTGTGAATGAGATTGAAAACTTTCTCAAAACCCTTCTTTTCCTCTAAGGGATCTGAGAGCAACACTGGACCAATGTATTATGCTGCTTCATCACAAGTGCTCTGAAGAAACTTCAACTTATATGCTGCAGGGTTTTAGAATCTTTTAATGTTCAGGTTACATCAGACAAATCCTCATACTTCAGAACAACACTTACCTGGATTCCTCTTTTCTTTAATAGATCAATACCAACAATATCTCTATAATCGTAGGAGACCATTTCCTTCTGATCTTCTGTCACATAAATGCGACCATTTGTCAGGCATCCATCAACACTGCAAACCAATAGCTTCACCTCTTTTAATGGCTCTTTGCCAAAATATCCAAAGCTAGACAAAGAAGTTATCTTTTTAGGATAGAAGTTTTTGCACACTCCAAAACCAAATATTTCAAATACAATTGTGATCTTCAGATAGAAGAATCAGCTTTGAAATTCTTTTTTTCTAATGCCTTTTCTCGTCATTGTCACTCTCCAACTATATTCTGTCTCTTCAAAGAAAAAAACAGAACAATACAAAAGACAGCACAGTTATGTTGTTCATCTAAAAATTAGGATGAGATTTATTTCCTTAGCGTAAGAGGTTATGCTCTGTAGCGTTTATTTGGGGCAAAACCAAAATGGAGTAAAGGATAAAAAGGCACAGAAAATATATTCCATTCCCACCCATTAATTCCTTAGAGAGGTACAGAGTAGCTGCCAGCTGCCTTTTCTTTGCAAGGTGTAATCAGCTCATACCTTCTGCATGAACACTCTCAGTAATGTGCATCAGTAAATGTGGTCCAGACCATGGAAGCCTAGGACAACTCAGCTGGAAAAGCCAGAGATGATACTAACACATTTCTATTGTATTGTCAGGCTTATACTTTTCCCTAAGCTGAACTTCTTAAAAAAAAAAAAACAAAACAAAAACAAACCCAACCCCCCCAAAAAACCCCCAAACATATAGAAAAGGTAATTCAGATGATTTCAATAGAGAGAGGAAAAAATGATCAGCAGAAATAAAGTTGTCCAATTAACTTTAATCTTGTTTACTTACATTACATACATTATAAATTCACATGACCATACTTTGAAACAAAGAGTGATATCAAAGAAATAAAGGATTAAAAAGTGCTTTTACCTCAATACCCTCTGTTCTGCAATAGGCCAATCAATGTCTATGTCGATATCCACACTGTGCTCTGCACGCATTTCATAGTAGGCCATTTTACCACCCTAAATAAAACAGAAACCATTAAGATTTTCTGCTTCGCTTAATACAAATACAAAACTGTACAATTTAGTACCATGTAATGAAAGCTAACTATCTGGTTCCACAGTGGTCACAGTAGCTTAAATAAGTGAAACATCAATAATGATGTTTTACCAGTGACACAGAACCAAGCATTTGAAACAACTTCCTACAAGCAATAGTTAATAAGTATTTTCATTTTATAACTAGAGAAAGTATGCAAGAAAGATGTTATGCATTATAGTCATTACGTCACACTGATTCCACTAAGTCTTTTAATACAGTAAAAGAGCAATACCTTTAGCATGCACTTAGTAAGAGTATGCTTATTTTTTGTTTGCTATCTACACAAAGACTTAATTCCAATTGGGAAAATATCCGCCATACTCCAATGTAATTAAAAAAAAGTAAAAGCCCTGATCCTCAGAGAGCTAGTGGCCCAACCTTCATAAAATGTAGAATTCAACACAACTGTACTATCCAGATCAATACCGTCCACATGGCACTAACCGGCACTGCATATGTCTGTGCAAACTATAGAGACCTAAAGCTAGTATCTAGACATTAGTGAGGTATCTGGAAAAGACAGAAATAAGAACCTGGTATTCTTGATGTACCTAGTAAGGTATTCCCATTAGAAATATGGAAGTATCTACACTGGGCTTTTTTTTCAGTACTGCTGACAAATACTGGAAATCATCTGTAAGATGGAGAGCTTGTCTTGCATGAGAAAACTAAAAGACTGTACTTGTAAACAAACAAAATGAAAGCTGAAGTAAATACATTTGTTCTGCATTACTACACTGGGACATAAACATCAGGAAAGGGAAAAAGACTGTTTAAGTTACAGTAAAAAATTAGTATAAGACTAAACTGGCCAAGAAGACAAGTTTATGAGAGAAGCCTGTGACACTGCACCAAGGTCAGTTTCACACCCTCAGTAACACTAAAATGAATTACAAGATATGTACTTACATCCTGGCAAGCTGATGTGTAAGTCAATATTGTATTGGTTTAGGCTTATACTTATATACTGCTCTATTATTTGCAGAAATGTGTTTGCTGTGGAAGATGCTGTTACTGGAACTGCCCTAGCTACAGCTAGCCCCATTAAGTTATGTAATAAGCAAAGTGTCCTGAGGTCAAAGTGCTGCTACTTCATACTGACTGCATCAGAAATAGAACACATTCTAGAATTAAAAAGATGTATTATCCTAAAGAGCATGAAAAACAGAAGCACTAACCTGCAAATAGCCTTTCTCAATCAAATGTCTCTTGGCAAAATAAAATGAGCCATTTTCATACAGCTCCCCAGGCCAATCTTGCCTCCGGTACCGTTTTGCTGGGTTCAGGTTTTGAGGCTCTGTCATTTTGTTTTCTGTTAAGAGTGAAAAATGACAAAGTAAGTTTTCCAGAATCCCTGTTCAGCATTACTTAACTTCCTTTAAATAGCTTTCTGTTGAAAAATTAAGGACACACTTCAGTCACCAACTTCCTTCATTATTGCCTCTCATTGCTTAGCTTTATAAAGAATTACTGCTTGCTCTTTCTTGGAACTATGGGTAACAAACTGGAGGACTGCCCTGCATTTCTAGCAGAGGAAAAGGAAATTGTTCATTCCAACTTAAAAAAAAAAAAGCCAACAAAAAAAACCAACCTAAAAAACCTGAGAGGTCATCAGCTCCAAAACTGGTTGTAGGGAGGACATTATTCTAGACTGTCCTTGACAATGTGAAAGAAATACTATACTCTTTCTGTACTTGATCTCCTAGTATACGATAGAAGAGGTTTAACTTGCAGAGATGAAAAATAGACAAAAAACATATTTAGCTACCTACACCTAATGTCCTGAATGAACTTCAAGAGCTGAGAGGACCAACCTGAAATCTGCAAGGTGAAAAAAGAACATATGAAAGAAACTGTGCCTGTGAAAACATCTTGGCATTTCCCCAAAATACTTCCTATTTAAGGATACACATTATATTAACTTTTCATAAGTGATTTAATCAGGGTCCACAAATGACCAAACAAGTGTCTTTGAACAAACATGACGCCGTTAAGAGTCCATATTCTTATCAATGCCAGTAGTGCATGCAGGAGAAAATGAACCAGGGACCAGAGACGTCTGTCCTTACACCACCCAAATTCACACGCACAAAGCGGCTAAAATTCACCAGGTCTCATGATCTAGTAACCATGAAAAAGTTAGAGGGCATTCTCAAACACCCAAAACAACCTGAGGCTTTAGTATATATACACACCTTTTATTTCATAAATACACTATAGCTTTATGCTCAATGAAGTAAACATTTCCAGTGAGAGAGAGACATTTTTCCCTGTCAGGGTGCATCAATATTAAACCTTAATGCAAAAGGAACAATAGAGACACACAGGAAAAGATATAAAATTCTTTTAACATAATCTGTAAAGTCGACTGGAAAAAAAAAAAAGAGTACAATACTAAAGTGTATAATGCTCCCGTGAATCACTGTCACCTGAAGCACCACACTCTTGAAAGGCCATTTGCTGTTACCCTTAAGCCGGTAATGTCTGCACAATGTGTTCCTTGTTCTGCTCGCATATACTCCTTGCAATTGAATAAGTCTTTATCTCTCGCCACATTAAAAGACTTTAGATATCATTTTATACTAAACAATTACTTGCCCTTTTAGGTAGGCCTTTAGGATTTTTTATTTTAATAATCTCCCTATTGAGACTAGGTGGCACACAACCACTTCAGAAAGGCGCATGGTACATCCAAATCAGATTTGCTCTTTCACAGATGTCCATTCTACCATCTCAAGATGTGAAGTGGACTTTCACTTGCTTGCCTAAAGTGCAATCCACAGAGTCCTAAACTGCCATCCACGATTTTGATACTCCTCTTATACCTTACAGCATCATGTTATTTCTCCTCTTACAAGGAATAATGAGAACATTCAAGTTATCCACTTATTCTAAACAAAGGCCTAACTTTTATTCCAACTTATCTCTAACACCAAGCTTCATTTATTTTGCATGCTCTTTTACAGCATGATGCTTTATAAACTCATTAAAAAAAATTTCATCTGAAGCAATTTACATCTCAGAATAATTGTAATGTCCGAGTAACACATTCATTTTTAAAAATTAAAAATAACGATGTGACAGTATCTGAACTAACCATTTTTAGAAAAAGAAGCAAATATTTCTGCTTTAAACACAGAAGCAAAACCGGTATAGATAATGCGTGGAACAGTTCTTTGTACAAGGACAAAAGGTACTTCTATAGCTACAACAAGGTACAATCTTTATTTGTAAGTAAAGAGTTCAGTCTTTAGTCATCTTGGCAACTGTAGCTGAGAGGCATATTTTCTCTGGCAAAAAGTCGTATTCTTCTGTATAAGCTAACTAACATGAGCTCAGTCCTCATGACTCAAAGGTACTTTGCAATTTGACTGAAGTCAGCAGCCAAATTAGCAGGCTGAAACAAACGCTAAGTCTTCAGGCTAAGAGGTTGCCACCCCATCTTCACTAAGACTTTACCTCACATTATTTGTCAGTTGTTAGCTACTGCATAGTAAGAACACACACTTTCCTAGTTAAGATAGGACCTCAGTGTCATGTCTACATACACATGAATACCCACCAAGCAGAAGTTAACATGTAAAGGTTTTGGGAGCTATATTTTGAGCTATATTGAGACAAGTCAATATCATTTTAATTTTCAATACCTTAGCATTTCTACAAAACAATTACAGAAAGGCTGAGCAATGATCAGTAGTATCAAAACAGCACCACTTAGAAGGGATTTCTAAGCTATCTCACACCTTTCCAAGAACTCAGCCCCTGCCTCTGATATCACTTCCTAATGTAAATACTACGGGTATGAAAATAAATCATTTGAAAAAAAAATATTAAGTATAACTGTAACCAGAAATGGCTAAATATTACCTCCTTTTTTTACCTCGCTCCATCTAAATTGATGCCGTCTGACAACAGAGAAGACAGAATCAAACCCCTCCTTCTGGATCAGATCTGCCACTTTTATAAGATCACTGGGATGTAAACAGGGAGACGTTGCTTGTATATTTCCTACAATATCAACCTCTAAAGAAAAACAAATATTTATGAAACAATGAATATTTTTAATACACACAACTGTGAAGCATGTTATGAGCCACAAAAAAAAAAAAAAAAAGGAGAAGCTTTCCAGCTTTTATTTACTAAAGACTTTACTTATTCTTCTAAATAATAAGTACATCACCCCTCTGGGGCTACAACATAAAAGCTCAGCATATTTCATTTCTGATTTACCATGATGATGATTAAGAAACTCTCTGATAGCTTCTAGAGAAGTTGAAGAGTCTTGAGAAACTTCTGGGCTTCTGCGATGGACTTGAGCGCCAAACTGCTTTGCGACCTTCTCAATTTCATCGTGGTCTGTAGAAACCCATACACTGTTGGCAGACAGTGACAGAAATGAACACAAAGAATAAATCCCAGGATTGTTGACTTGCCTGCCGTAATCTAACCTGAACAACACCCTGGCTTATGTATGTACTAAACCTTGCAATGAAAGGAACTAGTTCTTATATTTGCGTCAGTAAAACTATCTCTGTCAGTCCAACACGCAACTTTTAACAACAGGAATAAAACACACACATTCTCTAGATTGCAAAATCTCAAGCTTGGGTTGCATTTCAGTTTAATACTGTAGGGTGCGTGACCTACCTTCCATGTAGGAAGCTTAAGCAACATAAAATTCCAAAGTGTTACCATAAAAATCCAGTGTCAGCACACCACAATTTGTTAGGCATGCTAACAGATCAATGAAATGTGATGGGTTGAATGAGGCATTCAAAAATCATTTAAGAGTTCAGAAACAAGACTGACAACAAGTAAAACTGCCACACAGTTAGAATATTAGCTTATTCTGCAAGTGTTTTAAAAAGTGTTAATTTGGCTCCATACAATCCCAGAGAAAGAGCTGTTCAAGCTACATCACGTATGTTTTGGCACAGAAAGCCTTCAATACTGGTAAAGCAAGATTGTGATTGTTCAGGGATAATAAACATTTACAAGAGGAAGGGCTAAGTCTGAATATTATGTGATGATAAACACTGGCTGAGTACTGTGAGGTCACTCCTGCCATCACTGGGACAAAAGAGCATGTGAGATATAAAAACAAAAACTATGAAAAATAACCCTTCTTCTCTCAGTAGCACTAGCATTCTCAATGCACTGTACATAGCGAATGGTGCTTAAGTTTTTTTTCATCCAAAGACATCATGGGATCATCATAATAAAAATATGTATGACAGTGACAGTAATGTCAAGTCACACCCATGTGAACAAATGCAGAAGAGGTATTTTCCATCGACCGCTTCAGGCTTGTTAGGTACAGTATACACTCCCCATTCAACTAACAGAGTTTCGTTGTGTAACACGTACCCTGCAGCACAGCTGTTTCAAAGGTGACTAGAAAACCTACTGCACTTCCATCTAACGCACCTGTTATGCCTCAGTTAGGCTACATAACCTTAAATGACTTCCTCTTGGGCAAATTCAGATGCCAAACAGAAAATGAGGAGGTGACTCAAACCACCATATCCTCCACAGGTCATTAAGCAATACAGATTCACGAGCATTAAGTCATTACCAGTAATCCAGGTCAGAAAGGTTTTTGACTGCTTCTTTATTAGAAATTAAACCAAGCCAGTGATGCTTCCTCTACTTTTCAGACATAGTAAAAAAGATTTTCCAGAACAGAACGGTACAGCAGTTACGAGATACAGAAGGCTCGTGCTTACTTCCAGTTCTCTGTCTAGCTGGGCTACATTTCTACTTGACTACATCAAGCCCCTGCTCTGACCATAATGCAGTAAGTTTGCCTTGGGAACCTGCACCTACGTATGCTACATACCAAGTGCATCCTAACCACACATTAGTTTTAATTAAGTTTATCTGTGTGTGTGTAGAAAAGTCTCAGTTTTGTTCTGGCAGAAAAAAGAAATTTGTAATGCCCATATTCTTAATGCTAACAACATACTTGTTTCTACCTAGCTCTAATTATTGCTACCAAAGTTTTGTGCACTTTGCTAGAAATTGAGCTTCTCTTCTGTGTCACATGGGCACGCACAATTATTTTCTTCCGCTTGACATTTATGAGACTGCCCTTGACATGCTGCGTCCAGCTGCAGGCTCCCTGATACAAGAAAGAAAAACCGCAGCAAGCCCAGCGGAGAGCTAGCACGACGACTGGGGCCTGGGAGCACATGCATGCCAGGAGATGCTGAAAGAGCCGTCTCGATTCAGTCTTATGAAGAGAGGGCAAGGGCACGGGTTTATTGCCATCTTCAAGTACCTGATGGGCAGGTAGAGAGAAAACAGAGAAACTTTTCCTGGATGAGTGCAGTAGGGACACAGACACATATCACAAGAACAGAGAAGCACCAATTAGATAATCACAAAACAATTTTTCAACCATGAGGGCTCTCAATCCCTGGAGCCAGCACCCAGAAAAGGCTGTGGGTTCTTCATCCTTGGAGACACCCAAGCTCAGCATGCAGTCCCGAGCAAGCCTAACCGGTCCAGCTTTGCAGTGGGTGGGACCAGATGACCACCAACCGAAGCCATCCTAGGATTCAGCGGGTCACAGGAGATTACCTACAGCCTTTCAGTTTCATTTACTGCAGCTATCTTAATAAAGTAAAAAGGTCAACATTTACTGGCAAACATCACCAACCAGTGGCTCCCAACCACGAGTGAGAACAACTTCCATTTCAAATTACCGTGCGGTAAGACTTTGATTCCTTCATTGCTTCGCAGCTCAGCCTCACCAGGAAGGGACGGCAGAGTTCATGGCGGGGTGCAGCCTGCTTGCTCGGCGCCCCGCCCGATCCTTAACCTGGTGCCACGTTAACTGCACCCCCTTGTCTTCAGCGAGGACCTCCCGCTACACACCTGCCTCACCCACGAACCCGAAGCAGCAGTTTCAGCGAGGCTAGAGACGCCCCGGGGGATGCCAGCCCCCTCACT